TGCTTAAACATTTTTTGGCTGCCAGCATGGGCTGCAGGGACCTTGGGGAGATGCTAAGTAGAGTTGCAAAAGGCTTAGGCTGACTGGTAATTGTTCCTTTGGTGCCACAGAACCCTGATCCCAGTGGTAGGCGAGGGTGACTCGCCACTGGCTAGGTGTCACGGCTGGGTGTCACGAGCGTGGCTCCATCCCCATTAGGGCTGTTTCAGTAGCCTTTGAGCACAGGACACTTTCACCCCATAGGACCTCTTCCATCAGATCCTTCCTTTCCTTTCCCCTAGCTATTAAAAAAAAAGGGTTGATACAGCAAAATGCTTATGGCCTTTAAGCCTATAAGCTGTGCTGATGTCTTCACTAGGGTTGACTTTTAGACCGCCATGTCTTGCTGGGCTGGTGCCAAACTCAACGTCACCTGTCCCCACGTCCCACGCGCTCCATGGCCCTGCCCAAATCCCTGCTGCCCCCGCGCCTCCTGCCCGCACCTGACCCTGCTTGGCATCGGACGTCCTTCCGCATCCCCTGGCCCATCCTCCCCCGCAGCCGGGGACAGGCCTGGCACCCACTCTGGGGAGGAGGGGACCTGCCTCACCCTGGCTGCCGGCCCCGTTCACTCCTCGGGGCAGGGATCTCATGGTGTTTGCCTCACCCAAGTTATTTTGCAGCAGGCTGAAATTGCTGGGGACAGGCAACAACAACCCCGGCAGGCTCTGGCAGCAGACAGTGTGACCGACGCCTGACAGGATGGGGTGGTAAGTGGCAATGATGGCATGGATTCATCGCCTCCCACGCCAGGATGTGATGGGGAGCACCGGGACCCGACTCACCTCATTGCCTGCCTTGAGCAATCCCTGCCATGGTCCCTGAGGCCATGAGAGCCTAGCTTGGGGTGGGAAGTATCGGCTCACAGGTGGGATCTCCATGGTCAATGCAGACATGTGCCTCCAGCCTTACATGAGCATGCCATCCATCTCATTTTCTTTGCCAGCACTAGGTGCCGTTTAATTATTTCCTTTAATATCCAGCCAAAGGTGCCTGGAGAAGACCATCATTTATGCAATTACACCTTCTCCATGTGATAAGCCAAAGCAATTGAGCCTTCTGGTCCTGGGAGGAGGGTGGGCTTGGAAAAGAAAGTGTCAAGACCCCGTGGCAACCCAAGGATCGGCTTAAAATTGCAATGTGTTTCCTTAGAGTGGGAGCAACCACACAGCTCTCTTTGGTGAATCAATCCTGACCTCCCGGGTCAGGATATTGGGTATTGCTGTGTGAATATGCTCATGAAGGCTCTTAATTCCCACCTATTTATTGTCACCTTCCTCTAAGCACCGGCTTCACTTGCTACCACAGCCAGCATTTTTGAACATGCCTGCCTGGGGTTAAGATCTTGAACCCACGTTTAAGCACCTTGGCAAACACAGTCTGTGGCTTTGCACACCCTCTCTCTGAGCTTCTGCATGGAAAACACCCTGCTTATAATTATTTGCAGTGTGGAACTTGGCATCTCAGCCTCCCTGGCTGGGAACCCCTGAGTGTTTCTCAAGGAGCAATATCACCGGCGTGGCTTAGGGTTAGGTCAGAAATGTGAAGATGCTTTGCCCTGTGCTTGTGGTTGAAAGTCCTTGCAGGTTATGGGTGGAGAAGGTGTGGAAGCATCCCTGGCAGACACCGCCGCTGCGCCCAGGTCCTGCAGCCTCCAGCATGCTCTCCCGCTGCAGTCAGGAGTCAATAAAGCTCAACTGCTTCGACACTGCCAATGCAGATGTCTGTTAGCAGCTAAATACCTGCTAATCTTCCCTCCCTGCAGCGCCACTGTTTAATAACACATTCCTTTCACTCTCATACTGTTAAGTTGGTTTTTTTTTTTAGCATTGCAATTCTAAATTCACTGGTGCAGTACGTGGGGGATTAAGGGCACGCTCCTGGGCAAAGGTCTCCTGCAAACTCCTTGGGGCCAGCTGGCCACAGGCTCTGATCCCCGGGGTCAGGCGCCCCCCTCAAACAAGGGCCGCTTGTTCGGCACCGCCGGCAGAGCTGGGCTCCATGGAGAAGGCAGCCGGCCTGCCTGCGGCCAAACAGAGCCGGGGCATCGTCTGCTTCCCTCCCCACATCAGAAGGGTGTCAGGAGGGTGTCCCGAGCAGTGGTGGGTCAGTGCCGGGGGGGACCCTGACACTGGGCAGTTTTGGCTGGGACAGCACAGCGTTGCTGAAAAGCAATGGCCAGGATCAAGTACAGGTCCTTGCCCAGCAGGGCTCAAAGGGAGACTGTCCCTGTGGGTGGCATGGTGGTGTGACCTGCTCCTGCCTTGCCCTGGCCCCCAAAACCTGGCATGGATATCAGAGAAGCATCCTGCAACCAGCCCTGGCAGCTAAACCCCATTTGGGCTGTAGCAGCAGCAGGAGACCCCTGGGCACCAGTAAACCCTTGAAGAATGGAGATTAAAATGCCTTGGAAAGCTAAGACCTGAGGAACATCCCAAGCATTAATGAACTTATTACCGATACCTTTAAGACAGAAACAATAAGTTTTCCCTTGCAGCAGTGGATGAAGCTGCAGCAGTCCTTGCTGGGGGCATTTTTAATGCTCCATCTTGGAAGCAGGGCAATAAAGGACGTTTTTGATGCTACACTTTTAAGCCACGGCCCAAAGCAACTGCATTTGGCTTCATATGACACAACCCTGAAAACCCTGAATTTCCTTCCCTTTTTCCTGTTTTGGGCACATTTCATCCTGTCATCCTTCACCATGCTGACCGTGCTGGAGGAAGGCACGTGGCGCCTTCCCCCTGCCTCAGCAGTTTGTGCCCTGCAAAGGCTCACGTGGGCCTGTCCCCACCACCCGTGACTCAGCTAATTCCCCCTCAACCAAGTTCCTGCCATTGCTGTACAGGCACTGGCAAAGGCGATGGGTTGGAGGGGCAAGGATGTCCAGGACCACCACCACCAGGTCCATGTCCCCATCACGAGCTGTCACCTGAGCAGCTGGCTCTGCATGGAAGTGGGGCTGGAGGTGGGTGCTTGGATTCCTGCACCGAGCCCGGTGGTATCTGACCTGCATAAAAGTGGGACGAACATCTGTCCTTGCTCACCGGACATGTTTTGAGCATCCCGTAATTAATATTTGCTCAGTGACTGAGGCAGATGGGTGCTTAGCATTATTACTGAATGATGAGTAGCTGATGTTGTTGACGTTGGTACCTTGAGACATCTAATTTCAGCATCTGGACTGAGCAAAAGGCCAGGGGCCAGATTGCCAGTGCCAAAACCTTGATGGGCTTTGCATCTTTGGAGATGGCTTCCTTGGGAAGCCCTGTACATGGGCATGCCTGCCCTGCTCTGCCCTGGCAGCCCAGAATTTGGCTCTGTGCAGTGGCCTTGGCAGGGCAAGATTTGCAAAGCCCCCAAGCCCAGGGTAGCAGAAGGATGCAGGTTTGGAGATGCAAGAAGCTTGGCAGAGGGCTAATTCAAAGCTCACTGAAGGCTTCCTTGTACTGAACCTTGCTCAATGTGCACATACAAGACTGGATAAAAGAACCAAACCGCCGTGAAGGACTGAGTTATCCCAACCCTTCTCCCATGCTGCTGAGCACAGATGTGAGGGACAAGTGCTTACATGAGGATGCTCGTTTATTTATTTACTGGGGGGAAAAAGCATTGGTGAGAGTGATGCTCATTAAGCCTTTTAAAAAAATTACTTTCTGATTACACTGAGATTAAAAAAACTAAGACACCATCATCTTTAACTCCTCTGTACATAAACCCGCTGCCACCCAGTAGACGCTGCCCTGAGCAACCAGTTTATATTTTATTATGAGGTGGCTTTGGGGAGCTCCTGAGGTTTTTGGGGTGCCCTATCCCCAGGCAGCAGAGTGGCCTCTAGTGGCAACTGCTCACATCCAGCCCTGAGGAAAGAAACCTGCAAATGGATCTTGGGGGATCCAAGATCTTACTCCCCATGAAAATTAAGAGCAGACTCCCAACTGCTGGAGGAGAGGCATCCCTGCACAGCAGGTGAGTTGGTGCCAGGCAGGGTCCTGAGCACACCCACAGACCCCATCTGCCTTTGAGCAGCCACACCTGGGACCCCCACCCACATCCCTAGAGACCCATTTAAGCTCAGGCCCAGGCACCCAGTCCTGCCCAGGCTCCTGGGGTGCTGGTCTACAGCCTGGACCCCTGAAAGGCTTGTGCTGTAGGCAGCCCATCTCCAGTGCCCTCTCCTGGCGGGACACCGGAGCTACGTGGCAGCTCTGTCTCCTGGATGGATCTCAGACCTGGGTTGCAGCTTTGTCCCTGGCCCATCTCCTGTAGCTCCAGGAGCTGAGGGTCCTACAGGTCTGGGTCTCCTACCGAGTAGGCTCCATGCCCAAGGAAAGATAACTTGTGCTATAATCTCTTCTGCAAGGAGAACAGCTTAGGCTTTGATTCTTCTAAAATGTTTGTAGGTCCTTTACAGCTTTGAAGTCCTTCTCTCTCTGCTGAGTTCTGCTGGAACTGCCTGAAGAACTTGCTAGCACATCAGCCTCCTCAGGAAACCAAACTGAGTGTGCCTCATCAGGCAGGGTCTTGAGGGCTGCCTTTTGGCAGAGATCCTAGGAATAAATCTGAGCACAGCCACAGCTAGCGTTTGTAGTGCTTGGTTTCATGCTTCCCTTGGCTCATGTGTGGGGCAATAGCTCCGTTTATTTCTCTGCAGAAAAGTCTCCAGGTCCTCCTGAGTATGTAGGTGATAGTCCTCAGTGTCACAGCAAAGGTGTTCTTCCTTCCTGGAGCAGCTGCATTTTTTGACTTCATCCTAAGACCTAAAGGACCTCTGTCAGGAGCAGAAGTGAGCCTCGAGTCTTGCCCGGTAGTCTGTACTCTCATGCAATGCTCTTGCCCCCTTACCCTGAGGCTTGCTTGCTGCAGGTTAGACAATCTTTCCCTTTCCACAGAAGGTTTGTTTTCATCTGGTCCAGTCCCCTGAGTTGCTGGGAGGGAGGTCTGCTGGCCTGTAGAGCCCATCAGCAGCAGGAAGGGACCCAAGCAGAAGGTACCCCCACATTTTGGGCTCCCTGGATGTTATGAAGACCATCGTCAAAGAAAATGTGGGGCTGGATCTGGGCAAGGATAGGGCCCTTGGGAGCGCCATCCATGAAGAAAGCCTCATCAATGGCCAGACCCCACTCCTGGAGTGTCTTGATGGCTCGGACGCCCATGTCCCGGCCACCGCGGGCAGTCACCAGGTAGGTGCGGATGGGGGATTTGTCCTGGCTGAACTTCTTGCGCATCTTCCCAAGGTGCATGGCAAATGCCTTCAGGGGACCCTGGAAGCACAGCAAGACACTTAGGAGTGGGAGGGAAATAAAGAGACATCTTCTCTGCCTGTACAAGCCACTTGTTCCAGGGTTTCTCAGGGCTCTGCAGAGCATGGGGACACCTGTGTGGTGCAGGATGGGGCAGTGCTGGGAGACTGGTGCTGTGCAACGGGGTGCTTGGGAGGAAATTGAACGTTGTGGTGCTCATCCTAATCCCAAAGTGACCAGGAAGGTACATCCCAGTGAGCAGTGCCTCTGGGGCCGAGTCCTGCAGGGACTTACGCAGCAAGAGGTCCCAGCCTAAAAAAGGTGGTGTTGGAGGTAACCACAACCCTGGATATTTGGGAGCTCACTTATAGGAGACACCAAGCCAGATCCATCTCCAGTAGGACACCAGATCAGGCCCACACCAAGGACCAAGTAGTGGATGCAAAGGGAACCTGTAGGACTTGTGCTTTTTTTGGCTACTCATGGCAAGGCCCTACCAGGAGGGATGCTCGCAGTGGGTGCATGTGGATGCCTATCAAAGTGGGGTGGCTTGCTCACCTCTCCCATGGGTACGGCTTCCATTGCCCGCTCATACTGCACTGCCCCCTCCAGCCCCTGCTCCCGGAAGACCTGGTCCGTCTCATCAGAGAAGAGCACGGCGTCTCCGTCGAACACCACGCGGAGTGGGGCGCTGGTGGCCTGCACCTCTTGCTGGAAGACAAGTGCTGACGAGACCCCTGTGAGACAGAGCAAGGTAGGGCTCAGGAGGGACATCCCCCTGGGGGTAGCTCATACGTGGGCAACTCCTCCCTGCCCACCTGCCATGGCCCTGTCTCACACCACAAACACTGGGGTCTCCAAGCCAGGGGACTTTCTGTGAGGGTCAGCCCAGCCTTTCTAGATCTGTTATCCCCTCCCACGGGGATGGACAAGAAAGTGCTGCTGATGTCTGGAGAGATACCGAGGTCTGCCAAGAGATGCTGGGTGGTGGTGTAGGCACGAGCAGTCCTCCTTCTGGTGCTCGCTCACCCTGCCAAGCCTGGCTTTAATGCCCAGATTTAGCACTCTGCTGTGAGTAATAGGGGCTGGCACCTCCACTTGATTGGGGTAATTGGCTTAATTACAGGTCTCTTCCTACAAGCTGATCCCTGCCTGCCCTCGTACATGGACCTGGGCCCCCCAGATGAAAGACACTTGTCAGAGCAATGATGCTCTTCAAGGTGGCTCCAGGAATGCGCTGTGAAGGAAAACCCAGGCTGCAGATGGTCCTGCTCCTGACCTTGAAGGACCTCGGCCAGCTGATGTGCTCATACCCAAGCAAGTTAATAAGGAGGCGATTAACCCCATTAGAGCTGTTGGGGAGAGTGCACTCCCTCTGATCCAGATCAAGCATGTGCTTACATCTATCACTAAGCACATGGCAACTCCGCGTGTAGCAAGAAAGCAAATTTCTATAGCATCCTCACAAAGCCCTGGGAAAGGGCTTTTTTTAAATCAGGGCCAAAGCACTCTCATTGATCCGGGGAGCAGCATCTTTGGTTAGAAAGCCTTAAATGTCAGGCAGGGACTGACCAGCACATGGCAGAGCTACAGCCAGAATTATGCATACAGCACTCGGTGAGTTGTGAAGACATCTGAGAAACCCCGGTGTGTTTGCAGGACATTGGTGGGGACAGAAGAGGAGACTGAACTGTTGAGACTGTACTGATAATCAATGTGCCTTTCACTCCCTTGCCCCTCAGACAGCACAAGTTCTGGTGTTGCCTCTTGGTACTGAGCTGCATGGGAACAGTGTGCTGGGTTTGGGGATGTGGGGAGAACGCACCTCTCCGCAGGGCATTGCAGACATCTGTCCTGTCAGCTGAGAGGAAGAGCTTGACTCCGTGGGACTTCAGGTATAGTGTGGAGTCCTCGTCACTGACGAAGCAGAACTTCGAGATCTCCAGGCCTTCAGGTCAGGGAATGTGAGCAAAGTCTGTTATGGGCTAACATTCACCTCACAGCTCCCCCTTCCCTCCCCGTGTCTCAGTGTGCTTTGCTGCAGAGCTCAGGGCAATTAATTTCCCAGTGCTGTGTGGAGAACCCACCCATGTTCTTGCTGCATCTTCTTGCCCCGTTTCCCCTCAGAACTGTAGAGCGCAGTTAAATATTCCCTTCATCCCTCCCTTGAATGAGCCTTCCTGTTTTTAGGAAGTTTTTAAGAATTCAGTTTCTTTAGTAGCTGCCTGAGGATGCTCAGGCTGTGTAAAATGCTGCCAGACCCCTTGGTGCAGAAGGGAATCAGGCTCTGCTAAGGACCCTGCACACTTGGTGTGCTCCGGCACCCTGAGCAAGCTGCGTAAGGCTGACGGAAATTGGCCTTGTTGCTAAAATAACCCTTTCCCTGACTCTGCATTTGCCAGTGCTGCTCCGTTGTGGTGCCTTATCTGCTTCACAGCCTCCTGGGGAGCAGCAGGCACCGCTGTGGATAGGGTCCCCCTTACCGTAGTGCTTGGCACTGTTGATGATACGTATGCCGCTCTCTGGGCTGTTGTTGGAGAGCACCAGGATGTCAAAGAGGTTCTTCTCTGCTGGGTTGCTCTCCAGGATCTTCTCATTCACATACTGCGCTGCCTGTGAGGAGATGAGACTCTTGGGAGGGGCATGACTCTGATGGCTTTGCCAGGGCTCTTCCACGATCGCGGTGCGCTGCATCTATCAGCTATGTGTTGTGGAGAGCCAGAGAGAGGAACCAATCTGCAAAAGCCATTGCCAGGAGGGTAGGGAGAAGGATACCCCACAAGGAGGGAGCTGGATATGTGAGACTGGGGAGAAGCACAGGTTTTGATGCTCTGCAACAAGGCCAGGAGGCCAGGACAGGCTTATCTGCACCCTGTGATGGGAGCTAAGACATAAAGCTGGGAAAGCTGAGCTTTCACCCCATCCTGTGTCTGCATGTGCCCCTGGCCAGGCGTGGGGCTCACCTGGATAAAGGCAAAGGCCGTGCCTGGTGGCAGGGGCTTGTCCTGGTTGGCCTGCTGGTGCCTTGCGTACTCCTCCTTGCCCTTCTCCAGGTAGAGCTTGTGCTCCTCCTCCAGGTTGAAGATGGCTCTGGTGGTCACCGCAATGACCAGTGCTTCGCTGGGGTCTTTCTGCAGGAGAGGGAGGAAAGAGGGGCTGGGGGACAGCAAAGAAGGAGCTTGGGGAGGTGGGATGAGTAGAGGGACACAGGGCTCCACCAACTAGGGTGGTGGGGTTGGGTGTTGGAGGCATCATCTGTGTGTCATGGTTCCTGATGCCAGAGGGCCTTTTGGAGAAGAGGTACCAAAGCCCAATCTTCATCTTCAGGCCACCAAGGATGGGGCAGGCAGTTGTGAAACCCTAACTTGTCTGGTAAGTGCCATATGCTCTGAGGACAGCACACACCAGAGAGGATTGCTTCACAGTTTTGGTGTTTGTGGGCACAGCACAGCCATGCTCTGACTGAGCTGGGTATTCCTGTGTTTCTCTGCACGTTCTGGTGCTTTTACCCTTCATTTGTGTCTGTTCTGGAGAGTCTAATAAAGTCTCTGTATATGTACAGAACCTGCTGCTTTCTCCCTAGCTGCTCCAAAATTCAACTGCAAGCAAATGCACCTGTCCCATCCATGCAACTGGAAGTTCAGCCCTGAAACTTCTCCCATGTGGAAATCACTGGGACCAGTTGCCCAGGTCACTTCTGCTGAAACACAGACACTAGCATTTCAGACCACCACAGCTCCAGGTTGTGGCGTGTCCTCTCCTGTGGTGACATTTCAAAACTTGCTTTAGAAATACAGGATGCATGTTTTGTAACGAACAATCTTTTACCTGTTTTACATGGGTGTTTATGACCGTGCTTTCAGGCTCTGCCATCTTCGATTTTCAGCCTCAAAGAGAGAATAGACAATTACACTGATACATTATAATACAGCCAATCTAGAGAGGAGGAGGAGTAGAAAAGAGGCAGGGGACATCCTAACCACCAAGTGGAGCAGCCCAAATGAACCTGCCCCCGCTGACAAAAACTCTGCTCTGAGAAAACCTGGTCTACTAGCTCCAATTAAATATGATGGAAAAAGTGACTTCTGCTTCCTCCCCTCGCTCCCCCCAGAGTATTTTTCTCTGAGGGGAGCTGCTGAAAGTAGTTGTGAAGCTCTTTTCTCAGCAAAATAAGTCTGTCTTTATGCACCTTAACTAGGGCTTGGAGATGGATTTGATCTAAAAAGCCAAAGATAGGTCAGATCTTATGAGTAGGCTTCTCGTTCACATCCTTATTGCCTTTCTTGCTACTTTTGTTTCTCTGTTTGAATGGTGAATTTGTATCCACAAATAAGCAAGTTCACTGTGTGAGCAGTTCATTTGCAGCTGTAAAAGGCCTGAGTAAGTAGAAATGTGTGGTCAGGGCTTGCCTGCAGGACAGGACTGTGCTGATGAGGCTGGTCAGTGCCTCTACAGCCCTATGAGCCTGCCAGCCCCTACACTAAAGGTCTCTGTGTGGGCTGTGCTAGCCCAGGTCAGGCAGATGAGCAATGCAGGGTTACACGGCCTGCCTGTGCTTAGCAGCTGAATAAGAAATGACATTTATTTTTGTACACCCGAGCCCTGTGGTTTCTGTAACCACCATGCTGTACAGTGTTTCTATGCACTAGTCTGTGTAAGTGGACTTCTAGGATTCAGCCTGTGGGATTGGAACCGTTCTCATTCCCACTGAGGGGGATCTTATGGGGGTTATTTCCACCCAGCAGCTCCTACAAGTACACTGGGAGGTTTCTCTGGAGAGCAGGGGCAACAATCACTGCTCTACACAAATATGCTGGGAATAGCAAGGAGGTTAAAACCTTGTTTACCAGTTCATGCCCTACTTGATTACTGTGTGGGGGGCTGTTCAAGTATAGACCAAAGCCAGCAGGCAGTGCAAAGGGCAAATCAGGGTCTCTAAAGAGACATTTCTTCTGCCCAAATTCTCTTTAATTAAATTTTTCTTCTTATTCAGGGGTTGTGCAAAGCATTGCCTGGGCTGGTAGCAGATGCACTTGGCTGATACCAGCCCGGAGAGCTGAAGCCTTGCCAAGGGGAGGCTGTGCTTGTGTGTGCACTCCCCAGCTGCCCCTGGGGCAGAAAGCCCTGCCCGCAGGGCTGCTCCCCGGCCAGGGGGTGCCTGGAAGGCCAGGAGATGCTGAGCATCCCTCTGCTTCCTCCACCCGCACCCCATGCTGGGAAGGGGTCTCCTCCCACGGAGCAGGGCAGAGGGTGGCAACCGTGAGTCTTTGTCTGCTGAGCAGAGAGAAACTTTCCTCTCGCCGAATTTGATCCCAGCACCTTTCTAAAAGCGAAAATGAAACGAGGGAGGCGATAGAGCTAAGCAGAACTTCCGGGGAGAAACAGCCCCTCTAATTTCTGTTCTGTCCTTCCAAGTCCTGCAACCTGAGCCTGACTTCTCCTTTCCACCTACCTGCCCCTAACAACCGCAGTATGCGCACATACAGCGACGCGTAAGCTGCGCTTCTCCGCTGCCAGCCCCCCGCACGCGGTGCCAGGAAGCAGGACAGCCTTCCAGGCGGATGCTCGCTGGTCCCCGCTGCCCACCCCGCAGCTGCCTGGCACACGGCAGCCCTTCCCCCGCTGCCCCCCGCCAGGATTTCGCCATGGGAACCC